TAGTGTAGTGTAGTGTAGTCTCAGTGTAGTGTAGTGTAGTCTCAGTGTAGTGTAGTGTAGTGTAGTGTAGTGTCAGTGTAGTGTAGTCTCAGTGTAGTGTAGTGTAGTGTAGTGTAGTGTAGTGTAGTGTAGTCTCAGTGTAGTGTAGTCTCAGTGTAGTGTAGTGTAGTCTCAGTGTAGTGTAGTGTAGTCTCAGTGTAGTGTAGTCTCAGTGTAGTCTCAGTGTAGTGTAGTGTAGTCTCAGTGTAGTGTAGTGTAGTCTCAGTGTAGTGTAGTGTAGTCTCAGTGTAGTGTAGTGTAGTGTAGTCTCAGTGTAGTGTAGTCTCAGTGTAGTGTAGTCTCAGTGTAGTGTAGTCTCAGTGTAGTGTAGTCTCAGTGTAGTGTAGTCTCAGTGTAGTGTAGTATCAGTGTAGTCTCAGTGTAGTCTCAGTGTAGTGTCAGTGTAGTGTAGTGTCAGTGTAGTGTAGTGTGTCAGTGTAGTGTCAGTGTAGTGTAGTGTAGTGCGGTGTAGTGTAGTGTAGTCTCAGTGTAGTGTAGTGTAGTGTCAGTGTAGTGTAGTCTCAGCGTAGTTTCAGTGTAGTGTAGTCTCAGTGTAGTGTAGTGTAGTGTCAGTGTAGTCTCAGTGTAGTGTAGTGTAGTCTCAGTGTAGTGTAGTCTCAGTGTAGTGTAGTCTCAGTGTAGTCTCAGTGTAGTGTAGTGTCAGTGTAGTGTAGTGTCAGTGTAGTGTAGTGTCAGTGTAGTGTAGTGTCAGTGTAGTGTAGTGTCAGTGTAGTGTAGTGTAGTCTCAGTGTAGTGTAGTGTAGTCTCAGTGTAGTGTAGTCTCAGTGTAGTGTAGAGTAGTGTAGTGTCAGTGTAGTGTGTCAGTGTAGTGTAGTCTCAGTGTAGTGTAGTGTAGTGTAGTCTCAGTGTAGTGTAGTGTAGTCTCAGTGTAGTGTAGTGTAGTCTCAGTGTAGTCTCAGTGTAGTGTAGTGTAGTCTCAGTGTAGTGTAGTGTAGTCTCAGTGTAGTGTAGTCTCAGTGTAGTGTAGTCTCAGTGTAGTGTAGTGTAGTGTAGTGTAGTCTCAGTGTAGTGTAGTGTAGTCTCAGTGTAGTGTAGTCTCAGTGTAGTGTAGTCTCAGTGTAGTGTCAGTGTAGTGTAGTGTAGTGTAGTGTAGCGTAGTGTCAGTGTAGTGTAGTCTCAGTGTAGTGTAGTGTAGTCTCAGTGTAGTGTAGTCTCAGTGTAGTCTCAGTGTAGTGTAGTGTAGTGTAGCGTAGCGTAGTGTCAGTGTAGTGTAGTCTCAGTGTAGTGTAGTGTAGTCTCAGTGTAGTGTAGTCTCAAGTGTAGTCTCAGTGTAGTGTAGTGTAGTCTCAGTGTAGTGTAGTCTCAGTGTAGTGTAGTCTCAGTGTAGTGTAGTCTCAGTGTAGTGTAGTCTCAGTGTAGTGTAGTCTCAGTGTAGTGTAGTCTCAGTGTAGTGTAGTCTCAGTGTAGTGTGTCAGTGTAGTGTGTCAGTGTAGTGTGTCAGTGTAGTGTAGTCTCAGTGTAGTCGTAGTGTAGTGTAGTGTAGTCTCAGTGTAGTGTAGTGTAGTCTCAGTGTAGTGTAGTCTCAGTGTAGTGTAGTGTAGTCTCAGTGTAGTGTAGTCTCAGTGTAGTGTAGTGTCAGTGTAGTGTAGTCTCAGTGTAGTGTAGTCTCAGTGTAGTGTAGTCTCAGTGTAGTGTAGTCTCAGTGTAGTGTAGTCTCAGTGTAGTGTGTCAGTGTAGTGTGTCAGTGTAGTCTCAGTGTAGTGTAGTGTCAGTGTAGTGTAGTGTAGTCTCAGTGTAGTGTAGTGTAGTCTCAGTGTAGTGTAGTCTCAGTGTAGTGTAGTCTCAGTGTAGTGTAGTCTCAGTGTAGTGTAGTCTCAGTGTAGTGTAGTCTCAGTGTAGTGTAGTCTCAGTGTAGTGTAGTCTCAGTGTAGTGTGTCAGTGTAGTGTGTCAGTGTAGTCTCAGTGTAGTGTAGTGTCAGTGTAGTGTAGTGTAGTCTCAGTGTAGTGTAGTGTAGTCTCAGTGTAGTGTAGTCTCAGTGTAGTGTAGTCTCAGTGTAGTGTAGTCTCAGTGTAGTGTAGTCTCAGTGTAGTGTAGTCTCAGTGTAGTGTAGTCTCAGTGTAGTGTAGTCTCAGTGTAGTCTCAGTGTAGTGTAGTCTCAGTGTAGTGTAGTGTAGTCTCAGTGTAGTGTAGTGTAGTCTCAGTGTAGTGTAGTGTAGTCTCAGTGTAGTGTAGTGTAGTCTCAGTGTAGTGTAGTCTCAGTGTAGTGTAGTCTCAGTGTAGTGTAGTCTCAGTGTAGTGTAGTCTCAGTGTAGTGTAGTCTCAGTGTAGTGTAGTCTCAGTGTAGTGTAGTGTAGTCTCAGTGTAGTGTAGTCTCAGTGTAGTGTAGTCTCAGTGTAGTGTAGTCTCAGTGTAGTGTAGTCTCAGTGTAGTGTAGTCTCAGTGTAGTGTAGTCTCAGTGTAGTGTAGTCTCAGTGTAGTGTAGTCTCAGTGTAGTGTAGTGTCAGTGTAGACGAGGGTGTCAGTGTGTAGTGTAGTCTCAGTGTAGTGTAGTGTCAGTGTAGTGTAGTGTCAGTGTAGACGAGGGTGTCAGAGTGTAGTGTAGTGTCAGTGTGTAGTGTAGTCTCAGTGTAGTGTAGTGTAGTGTAGTCTCAGTGTAGTGTAGTCTCAGTGTAGTGTAGTGTCAGTGTGTAGTGTAGTGTAGTGTAGTGTAGTGTAGTCTCAGTGTAGTATAGTCTCAGTGTAGTGTAGTCTCAGTGTAGTGTAGTCTCAGTGTAGTGTAGTGTAGAGTAGTGTAGTCTCAGTGTAGTGTAGTGTAGTGTAGTGTAGTGTAGTCTCAGTGTAGTGTAGTCTCAGTGTAGTGTAGTCTCAGTGTAGTGTAGTCTCAGTGTAGTGTAGTCTTTGTAGTGTAGTGTAGTCTCAGTGTAGTGTAGTGTAGTGTCAGTGTAGACGAGGGTGTCAGTGTGTAGTGTAGTCTCAGTGTAGTGTAGTGTCAGTGTAGTGTAGTGTCAGTGTAGACGAGGGTGTCAGAGTGTAGTGTAGTGTCAGTGTGTAGTGTAGTCTCAGTGTAGTGTAGTCTCAGTGTAGTGTAGTGTAGTGTAGTGTAGTCTCAGTGTAGTGTAGTCTCAGTGTAGTGTAGTGTCAGTGTGTAGTGTAGTGTAGTGTAGTGTAGTCTCAGTGTAGTGTAGTCTCAGTGTAGTATAGTCTCAGTGTAGTGTAGTCTCAGTGTAGTGTAGTCTCAGTGTAGTGTAGTGTAGAGTAGTGTAGTCTCAGTGTAGTGTAGTGTAGTGTAGTCTCAGTGTAGTGTAGTCTCAGTGTAGTGTAGTGTAGTGTAGAGTAGTGTAGTGTAGTCTCAGTGTAGTGTAGTGTAGTTTGTAGTGTAGTGTAGTGTAGTCTCAGTGTAGTGTAGTGTAGTCTCAGTGTAGTGTAGTGTAGTGTAGTCTCAGTGTAGTGTAGTGTAGTCTCAGTGTAGTGTAGTGTAGTGTAGTCTCAGTGTAGTGTAGTGTAGTGTAGTGTAGTGTAGTCTCAGTGTAGTGTAGTGTAGTCTCAGTGTAGTGTAGTGTAGTCTCAGTGTAGTGTAGTGTAGTCTCAGTGTAGTGTAGTCTCAGTGTAGTGTAGTCTCAGTGTAGTGTAGTCTCAGTGTAGTGTAGTGTAGTGTAGTCTCAGTGTAGTGTAGTGTAGTGTAGTGTAGTGCGGTGTAGTGTAGTGTAGTCTCAGTGTAGTGTAGTCTCAGTGTAGTCTCAGTGTAGTGTAGTGTAGTGTAGTGTAGTGCGGTGTAGTGTAGTGTAGTCTCAGTGTAGTGTAGTCTCAGTGTAGTCTCAGTGTAGTGTAGTCTCAGTGTAGTCTCAGTGTAGTGTAGTCTCAGTGTAGTGTAGTCTCAGTGTAGTCTCAGTGTAGTGTAGTCTCAGTGTAGTGTAGTCTCAGTGTAGTCTCAGTGTAGTGTAGTCTCAGTGTAGTCTCAGTGTAGTGTAGTCTCAGTGTAGTCTCAGTGTAGTGTAGTGTAGTGTAGACGAGGGCTTCCAGTGCCGGAGGTGCAGTGCTGCTCTTCAGGGAATCAGTGTGCTGTTGTGGATCTCATGAATAACTGATAAACCAGCAAATAATAAAAGTTCTCTCGCTTGTAAATCAAGCTACTGTATATTTACTGATCTGCGTGTGTAATGTTCTCTGCTGAGTGTGACGGGGTGTGTGTGTGTGAGAGAGAGAGAGAGTGCGTGTGTGTGTGTGTGTGTGTTCAGTCACCGGAGGGCTGGTAGAGTTGATTCTGCAGACACTCCTTCAGCAGTGTGTGTGTGTGTGTGTGTGTGTGTGTGTTCAGTGACTGGAGGGCTGGTAGAGTTGATTCTGCAGACACTCCTTCAGCAGTGTGTGTGTGTGTGTGTGTGTGTGTGTGTTCAGTCACCGGAGGGCTGGTAGAGTTGATTCTGCAGACACTCCTTCAGCAGTGTGTGTGTGTGTGTGTGTGTGTGTGTGTGTGTGTGTGTGTGTGTGTGTGTTCAGTGACTGGAGGGCTGGTAGAGTTGATTCTGCAGACACTCCTTCAGCAGTGTGTGTGTGTGTGTGTGTGTGTGTTCAGTGACTGGAGGGCTGGTAGAGTTGATTCTGCAGACACTCCTTCAGCAGTGTGTGTGTGTGTGTGTGTGTGTGTGTTCAGTCACCGGAGGGCTGGTAGAGTTGATTCTGCAGACACTCCTTCAGCAGTGTGTGTGTGTGTGTGTGTGTGTGTGTGTGTGTGTGTGTGTGTGTGTGTTCAGTGACTGGAGGGCTGGTAGAGTTGATTCTGCAGACACTCCTTCAGCAGTGTGTGTGCGTGCGTGTGTGTGTGTGTGTGTGTGTGTGTGTGTGTGTGTGTGTGTGTGTTCAGTGACTGGAGGGCTGGTAGAGTTGATTCTGCAGACACTCTTTCAGCAGTGTGTGCGTGTGTGTGTGTGTGAGTGTGTGTGTGTGTGTGCCAGCGATCTCAGACAGGTTTGAACACGACAGGACTCAGTCTCCTCTCTCTGACATTCCTCTGTGTGTGTTGTTCAGCGCAGGATGACGGGGATCCGGGAGTTTCCTCGGGAGAGTGTGTGTGTGTGAGGGATCATGGCCGGCAGAGTCGGGTTCCACTCGGATCTGGTCACCGATATAGAGTGAGTGATTATCTCTTTTATCTGAACTTCCTGTGTTCTGGGTGTGAGTTTGTGCAGAGCTTTTTCAGGCTCGAACAGCAACATCACACACAACACGATACGTTTAACCTGCTTTCTAATATAAGAATAGTTGCACTTGTGTTTCTTTCTGAACAGATCTTATTGTGAAGCTGTTTTTATCTTTGTGATTCAATCTTTCAGTTGTTGTTTTGTGTGTGTGTGTGCGTGTGCGTGTGTGTGAGTGTGTGTGTGTGTGTGTGTGAGTGAGTGTGTGTGTGTGTGTAAGAGAGAGAGAGAGTGTGTGTGTGTCTTTTGATGCTTCAAGCAATAAATTACGGACATGATTACTGATTAAAAATATATAAAAAATTCAAGTAAATTAGTGTTTCATAAGTATTTTGTATTTTGATCAAATAAATGCAGCCTTGAGCAGAAGAAACTCTTTCAGAAACGTTTTTGAGTGTGTGTGTGTGTGTGTTGTGCATCAGGAGTCCCGCTGACGAAGAGGGGGTTCATGACTCCTTCAGTCAGCTGATCGAGGAACAGAGTCAGGACCATCATGATGAGATCGAGATGACCTCACTGGAGCTGGAGGAGGAGAGCAGAGGTCAGATCACACACACACTCACTCACAACACACTCACACACAGAGACAGACAGACACACACACACACACTCACTTACACTCACACACACAGAGACAGACTCACTCACTCACACACTCACACACACTCACTCACTCACTCACTCACTCACACACTCACACACACAGAGACAGACTCACTCACTCACTCACACACTCACACACACAGAGACAGACTCACACACTCACTCACACACTCACTCACTCACTCACTCACTCACTCACTCACACACACAGAGACACACTCACTCACTCACTCACTCACACACTCACTCACTCACTCACTCACACAGAGACACACTCACTCACTCACTCACTCACACACTCACTCACTCACTCACTCACACAGAGACACACTCACTCACTCACTCACTCACACACTCACTCACTCACTCACTCACTCACTCACACTCACTCACTCACTCACTCACACACTCACACACACAGAGACAGACTCACTCACTCACTCACTCACTCACTCACTCACACACTCACTCACTCACTCACTCACACACTCACACACACAGAGACAGACTCACTCACTCACTCACACACTCACTCACTCACTCACACACTCACTCACTCACACACTCACTCACACACTCACTCACACACTCACTCACTCACTCACTCACTCACTCACTCACTCACTCACTCACTCACTCACTCACACACTCACTCACACACACACACAGAGACAGACTCACTCACTCACTCACTCACTCACTCACTCACACACTCACACACTCACTCACACACACAGAGACAGACTCACTCACTCAATTCAAATTCAAATTCAAATTCAAATTCAAAAATTGCTTTATTGGCATGACTGTACACAATACAATATTGCCAAAGCTTGGAATACATAAAGACATCAAAATAATAAAATATTATAATATGACTTAAATCTAAATGTACAAATTAAATTAATTGTACAAATTAACAGTGTACCAAATAAAAATAAATACATAAATAATAATAATAATAATTAGAACAGTTTATGAACATTTCAAAAATTCTCTGAACAATTTAGAATTCAGTGTGTGTGTGTGTGTGTGTGTGTGTGTGTGTGTGTGTGTGTGGGCGCGGGCGCATCACTGATTAGTCGTCGACTCTCTCTTTTTGTGACAAGCATCAATGTATCTGGCTGCTAATATGATACAATCTGTTTTTTCACCTAATAGGTGTTGAAATTGTGTTTTGTTGTCTAATTGTAGGAAGTTAGGGCAAAGTATTTCAAATTTTGTATAGAAAGTCCCTCTAATGTCCTCATAGTTGGGGCAGCGGGTGAGGAAGTGTTGCTCAGTCTCCACTTCTCCCTGCTCACAGTACGGGCAGACGCGTCTCTCTCTGGGCCGCCAGTTCTGTCGGTGTCGGCCCGTCTCCACAGTCAGGGTGTGATTGCTCAGTCTGTACCTCGTCATCCTTCTTCTTAGTGTACAGTCTTTCACTGTACTCAGGTATTCTGCCGTGGTGTAGTCTCTATTTAGGGCCAAATAACATTCTAGTTTGCTTTGTTTTTCTGTTGATTGAGTCCAATAGGTCAGGTAATTCTCCTGTTGTGCTTTGATGATGTGGTTGGTTCACTCACTCACACACTCACTCACTCACACACACAGAGACAGACTCACTCACTCACACACTCACTCACTCACTCACTCACACACTCACTCACACACACAGAGACAGACTCACTCACTCACTCACTCACTCACTCACTCACTCACTCACTCACTCACTCACTCACTCACTCACACACTCACACACACAGAGACAGACTCACTCACTCACTCACACACTCACTCACTCACACACACAGAGACAGACTCACTCACTCACACACTAACTCACTCACTCACTCACTCACACACTCACTCACACACACAGAGACAGACTCACTCACTCACTCACTCACTCACTCACTCACACACTCACACACACAGAGACAGACTCACTCACTCACTCACACACTCACTCACTCACACACACAGAGACAGACTCACTCACTCACTCACTCACTCACTCACTCACTCACACACTCACTCACACACACAGAGACAGACTCACTCACTCACACACTCACTCACTCACTCACTCACTCACTCACACACTCACTCACACACACAGAGACAGACTCACTCACACACTCACTCACTCACTCACTCACTCACTCACTCACTCACTCACACACTCACTCACTCACACAGAGACAGACTCAATTTCAATTTCAAATTAGCTTTATTAGCATGACTGTGTAACACAATGTTGCCAAAGCATATTAAATATAAATAATAAAACAAACAGTGAACATATATGTATAAATCATGTCATATGTAGCATTGTAAATATATAGATAAATAAACACAATCTATCTTAATAAATAGATAAATAAATACATTTGATCACTCTGGAGAATTAGCTGTCTCTGGCGTTGTGAATAGCTAGCACATATTTAGCCGCTAGTGCAGCTGTATTTACATCTTCTCCCAGTAAGAAGGACATTTTGACAGTGTCACTCAGTTCATAGAATGATGGGATCAAGGCTTCAAATTTGGGCAGAAAAGTGTCTCTTATACTGGTATATTTAGAGCAGAAGAGCAGAAAGTGTTCCTCATCCTCTATGTGCTGTAGATCACAGTGTCTACAGATCCTCTGCTCTCTCTCTGTCCATGTCTGTCTATGTCTTCCTCTCTCTATCTCTAGATCATGGTCACTCAATCTGTATTTGGAGAGGATTTGTCTGTCTTTAAAATGTTTAATAAATAGATAACTGGCCAATTTAGTGGTTCTATTGAGGGTCGAGTTTTTTCTGGAGGTCAAAATGAGCTTTTAGTGATTGATCATGAGTGTGTTTTAGATGTGTGTGTATTTCTTTAACAGTAGTTGTGGGGCTGTAGCTGTGGTCAGTGGGGAGTGTAGTCTGATGGACGAGTTGAAGAGCGAGTGTGTGTAGAGGATGAGGTTCTGCTGAGCTTTCATTGGCGAGGAGGGCTTTATATTGGACTGACTCTGGATCAGACTGATGGAGGTGATGCCAGAACTGAACACATCTCTTCTGGATCTCGATGTTCAGCGGGTACAGGCCTAGCTCAGCCCTGCAGGCGGCAGTGGGTGTGTTTCGGTGAACCCCTAAAATATTTTTGCCAATTTCCAATTGTAATTTTTCTACTGGTGTTTTATCCCAATTTTTAAAATTTTGTACTGGTCCCCAAATTTCACATCCATATAAAATAATTGGTTTTATTATTGAATTATATAATTTGATCCAGGTTTTAATGGGTAATTTTAAGTGCCCGCATCGTGACTTTATAGCATAAAAAGCCCTCCGAGCCTTTTCACTGAGTGTTTTAACAGCCAGACCGAAGCGTCCCGAAGCGCTGATGTCGATGCCCAGATAGCTATAGCTCGTGCTGTGCTGCAGGACCTGGCCTTACACACACACACACACACACACACACACAGATAGCTATAGCTCGTGCTGTGCTGCAGGACCTGGCCTTACACACACACACACACACACACACACACACACAGATAGCTATAGCTCGTGCTGTGCTGCAGGACCTGGCCTTTTATACAGGAACTGGTGTTTGTGTTCCTGAGATCTGGCCTTCTTCTGGAACACCATGACTCCATGAGGTTTTGTCCAGATTGACTGTCAGGGCCCAGTCGTGACAGTATTGTTCCAGCAGGGACAGGCTCTGCTGAAGGCCCTCGGGTGTGCGGGACAGCAGGACCAGATCATCCGCGTACAGCAGACATCTGACCTCTGACCCCTGACCCCTGGCCTGTGTGTGGTGTAGAGTGAGGCCGGGCACAGTGGAGCTCTCCAGCGCTGATGCCAGATCATTGATGTAGATGTTGAATAGAGTCGGGCTCAGACTGCAGCCCTGCCTCACTCCACGGCCCTGCTGGAAGAACACACACACACACACACACACACACACACACACACACACACACACACACACCAGCCCTGCCTCACTCCACGGCCCTGCTGGAAGAACCCGCTTCTGTGGTTCCTGATTTTCACCGCACTTTTGCTGTTGCTGTATAGAGATTTTATTAAATCAAACGTTTTTCCGCCAATGCCAATTTTTAGGATTTTGTACAGTAGACCATCATGCCAAATTGAATCGAATGCTTTTTTAAAGTCTACAAAACATGCAAATATTTTCCTTTGTTTGCCTTTGATGTTTTCGTTGATGAGTGTGTGGAGGGAATAGATGTGGTCGGACGTGCGGTGTTTTGGTAGAAAGCCAATCTGTGCTTTATTTAAGATGTTGTGTGATGAGATGTGTGAGACAATGCGTGTGTTTATGATCCTGCAGAACAGTTTTCCTAAAGCACTGCCCACACTGATGCCGCGATAATTATTGGGGTGGAATCGATCTCCTTTCTTGAATATGGGTGTGATGAGTCCCTCAGACCAGCTCTCAGGGACGCTTCCGGACCACAACACCAGATTAAAGAGTTTGGCTAGAGTTTGAATCATGCTGGGACTGCTGAGTTTAAGCATTTCGTTACTTATGTGATCTTGTCCACATGCTTTCTTTAATTTAAGATTTTTTATATGTTCTAATATTTCAGTTATTGTTATGGATTTATCTAATGGATTTTAATAATTTTTTATTGTTTTCTCCATGTCTTCTAGAGTTTTCTTTATTTTACTCTGGGGTTGATTAAGGTCAGCTGGTGCAATTTTTCGATACAAATTTTCAAAGTAAGATTTCCAAATTGTGCCATTCTGGAGTGACATCTCTAGTTTGGGTTTTTCAAGTTTTTTATAAAGATTCCAGAAAGTGTTCTGATCTACCGAGTCATCAATTTCATCAATTTTGGTTTTCAAATATTTTTCTCTTTTGTTCCACAAAAGTCTTTTGTAATTCTGCAGACAGTCTGAATAAGAAAGCCGTGATGTCTGGCTGGACGGATCCTTGTGCTTTTGGTTAGAGAGTCTC